GAACTCAGTATTGCAGAAAGGTCTGACATTTTATCTATGTTTTATGTGGGGCAGGTTAGAGAACTGTAGTAGTGCAGTAATACAACTGAAGCCTAATTCTCTACTTCAGAACAGGGTTTCCAAGTCCTAAGGCAGCAGCTGAAGTCTTGGGGGACTGCTGTGCATCAGTGGGTCTCCAGATGGGAGAATAATCTTGGGGTGAACTGTGCTGGAGGATAACACTGGATTTTGTGAGATGTCTTTATACCAAAGACACCCAACTCCACCCATTCTTGCCTGGTGTCAGGGCTCCTAGGCTCAGTGGAAATATGTGCATATATGTCACACCTGCAGAGCGTTTGCCTATATTTTGCACCTGTGTTTGTATATGTGTTGCATTTGTGAAGTGTCAGGGCTCCAAAAAGCCAGAAGCGAGGAAAGGGGTCTGGGGATGGCTTGAAGTGGGTCCATTGTGATATTTGTGGCAATGCAAGAAGTAGGGCACTACTCTTGAGACTCAGTGAGACTCCTTGTGGCACAAGGCCTGATGACAACAGCATAAGACTTGGGAGAAGAAATCCTGTGGGCTGTCATTGAGCTTTCAGAAGCCCCAGAAACCTGGGGAAAAAAAAACAGGGACATGAGTTCCTTGAACAGGAATGGTGGCAAATGCTGGAGGCATTTTGCTGTCTGCCTGGCCAGTGGTTGCCATGTTACCTTATCAGCAAGATTTTACCTGCATTCCACAATTGACTTTGTGGACTATTGCAAAGCCTTTCACTGTGTAGATCATGAGAAACGGGGTTGCTCTGAAAGAAATCGGTTTGTGTCAGCAAAGGATTGTTCTGCTGCATCACCTGTATTGTGGGCAAAAAGCTGCTATGAGGACAGAATAATTGCATATAAGCAAAAGTTAAGGGTGCATTTTATCCCCTTACCTGTTTAATCTGTATGAAGAACATATCATACGGAAAGCCAGATGAGCTTTAGATGAAGGAGGAGTGAACATTGGTGAAGGAAACAGAAATAACCTAAGACAGTGGTTCTTAACCTTTGTTACTCAGGTGTTTTTGAACTGCAACTCCCAGAAACCTCAGCCAGCAGAGCTGATGGTGAAGGCTTCTGGGAGTTGCAGTCCAAAAACATCTGAGTAAGAAATGCCAAGAACCAGTGATCTAAGACAGATGTGTCAATCTCAATTTCATCTTCGGCTGCACTGGCATTATAATTTCCTTAAAGCAGAGGTCCCCAATCTTTTTGGGACCACAGACCATTTGGGGGGTGCGGGCTCTGAGTGCGGACTGGTTAGGGGGCATGGGCATCCCTGTGCCTCACAGAGGGGCATATCATGCTCACGGGTGGGCTTGTCGCACTTGCGGAGGGGCGTGTCATGCTTGTGCACATGCGCACAAACACAACACACCCACCCACCAGCACAACACACCCACCCACTCTCCCAATCTGCCTGGCTTCTAATTTCAGCCCAACCGGGAGCGGGAGCAGCAGCAGCGGCACCTACTTGGCGAATACGGGGCTTCCTCATCAGGGGCTCCCAGAGTTGTCTCCCTGGTCCTGGAAGCACAGGAGCAACTCCGCCATTGACCCTCCCTGCCTTGCAGGGGCTGGGTCCTGCCTGTCCCCCCCCCGAAGTGTCCACGTGTCCAGACGGGGTGCCCTCTCCCTGCCCGGAAATATTTTCCCTCAAAAGCAGCGGAGCTCACGGGTCAGGGGTTTGGCACCACCGGGGCTTCTGATGTTAGGTCTCTCTCTCTCCCCCCCAACCCGCCACTCTTTGCAGGTCACCTGGTGAGGTGCTCCAAAGCGCTCCTGTGGTGTGCCAGGGAGGGAGGGGGGCAACACAGAGCCCTTATCTTGAGCTCCATGTCGGGCCACCTCCCCAGGCGCCGGTGGCGCCACCGCTGCTGCTGCTGTCACCTCGTCCTCTCTGCGGCTGAGGTGAAGGACGGGCCCCACTCGCAACCTGGCCAAATGCTTCTCCTTCCTCCCACCTGGCACTCCTCTGCTCCCTGCCCAGACATGCCGTGGGAGGGGGTGATGCTGAGAGAAATGTCTCCTCACGCACGCTCCCCTCCCCTGGTTTCGATTTGCAGCCTGCCGTGGAGAGCTCGCGCCCATCGGTCCGTTGGTCTTGACGGTCTTTCGCTTGTTCCCTCCCTCTCTCTTCCTTTCCTTTTCCTTTACTGCTGCTGCTTGTTTGCCACCACCGCCAGGGACGAAGAGCCACAGCCAACAAGGGGGAATAAACGTTCTGTCCATGAGAACAAAGTGGCCAGTAGCAGGCACTGACGGCCCACCCGCCAGCCAATGGGGAGCTGCGAAAGCGTGACACGCCCACTTGCGAGTGCAACACGCCCACCCGTGAGCATGACACCCCCGTCCGCAAGTGAAGATGAGAAATGCCAGGCTCTTGCTAAGACCTACGCCTGGTATATTACTCATAGGGTTCAACAAATAGCTGATGGCAATGGAACAGTTGATTGGCCTGAAAGCAGCAGTCCTCATAAGCTGAGTTATTGATCCCAATCCTAATAAGCTTGCTGGGGCCTGACTGCTGAAAGCAGCAAGAAATGCTGTAATTCATGGCCTCAAACTAGGAGTGCCAAAGTGCCCGAGTCCTGCAGCTGGTCTGGTCAGACAGCTGTGCATCAGCTGTAGCACAGCTACACAAAAGCACTTTGCACGTGTCTCTCTGCTATCTGTCTACTCATTGTCTAAGATACAAGGGTGCTTCTGAGGAGAGATACCTGCTCAAAAAAAGGCTATGTACAACAACTCTGAGTCAAGGTTTTTATTAGACAAGGTAGTTCAGGGCCATGCTCCTAGGGAAGAATATTGCAGGAAAAAGGGAGGGACACAAACCCTATTTTCATTGATAATGATCAAAAGGAATGCATAGTTTGCCAGTCATGAGCTATGTGAATGGGATGACTCATGAGGCTGAGGGGGCTGGGAAGACACTGGCATGGATACAGGCTGGTGCCCTAAGCATCAGTCAGGAGGTAGGGGGTGGGCAAGATATC